TGCTCACTCATGGAAAAAACAATTGAGTCTTTTTGTTGCTATGAGAAGTCTCTGGAATACGACGAGTATGACGATATATTAAAAAAGGTAGAAATTCAAGAATTTATGTGCATAACAGATTCATCGGCTTTTCAACAAAATATGTTGTCCAGGGATGTACTGTATGTTGACGTGTCGCAGTATATGGAGGAAAATTGGCCATTGGGAGACGAGGAACTCGAACAAACGCACAAATTATACAGACTTGCATCGTACAGAAGATGCTCAAGGTGGATTTTTGGTATTTTAGGGAAAAAAAATCGGCGAGTTTTCCCTTCATGTGTGTATACTTGTATCAGGAAGGAGTTTCCGTCTCCAGATGGTTTATACACGCATTTTAGGTTCTCAAAATGATTCGCTAATGAAAATTTAAGGAAGTTCCAGAATTTAATTGTTCTTCATTGCTTCAGCCAATTGATTTTAAGTCTATTTGTTTAAACATTTGTCCCTCGTACAACTACAACTTGAAGAGCACAATCTCTTGCTTGCTTTGCAACCACATCTTTTTGTTGCACATTTTCCTGAACATTCACATATATCATTATCTTCCACAGGATAGGCTGGTTTAGTAAACCTGCTGAATCGCTTGGCAATGATAGAATTTTTACTTTCTGGTGGGTTGTTTTTTTATACTGATCCACAAGGGAGGGTGGTTCTTTAGGTAGGACATCAATCGCATTTAGGCGTGCCTTTTTTAGTGTTGGAAACTTCTGCCGTAGCTTTAAGCTTTCAGACTGATGGCGTTTTACATAACCTAAAAATGGAGAATTTTATTGTAAACCTTGTTATGTTATGTTTTTTTTACTGACTAAAGCAAAATACTCTAAGTTGTAAAGCCACATGATTGTTAATATTGTTTATATTGGCTGGAATGGTCATAATAAAAAAATAAGTTAAATAAGGGTAGAGTTTGCATATCATGACTGCATGACTGGACATTTTTGAATGCTTAAATAACCTTTTTGTGTTTACAAAACACTATAAACTGTACTTGTGTGGAGTAAACTTGTAATTTGTGATTATGCATCATATTTATTTGTAGTTTGTATAATTTAATCTAATCATTAATTAATATAGTTAATTTGTTTAATCAACTCACTGAAAGTTGGGGCCTCTTTTATCTTCTTAGCAATAGCCTTTTCCCCTTGTGTGCTTTTGGATAAATTATTACCCAACGATCTGATTCTTTTTTTGTTTTAGCTTGCTTCTTGGAATTTTCATTGAAGTGCATGTTAGCACAAAACAGTCTAAAACAGGTTTGAAGCTATTAGTATTCAAAATTTGACTTTTGCTTTTCTTCTAAACATTTTCTTATTCTTTGATTGCCAACTGGCACTCCTGCAATTACCTGACTTATAATAAGGCCAAAAAAAATTGTTGGTTTCCGGTTTCCCGACCATACCTAGCTTTTGGCTGCCGAAATTCCTGACCATAAACTTTTTGTTGTTTCCACTTAAAGGACTGCCTCCTCCGCAGGCCATTATAACATAACTTATCAGTGGCATATATAGATCAGTGCACTTTCCGCGCGCGTCTAATCAATTGAACTCCCCCCCTGAATTCAATAAACCCTAAATTCAGTAAAGCGACTGGGGACGAGACAACTTAAAGGATATTTAAAATGTTTCCACCTAAAGGACATTTTGTGGGCTAATTAACTAAAGGAATTTTTTAATAATCTGGAAGGAAATTTCTTTGGCAAGTGGAAACACATAACGAAAAACTAATTAACTAAATTGGATTTGATTTAACTTAGTTCTCAAATATGCAGGTGAACAAGAAACATGGAGTCAAATTTGGGTGAGGGTTTTTACCTGCATTGCAAATTTGAAATAGAATTCTAAAATGTGACTTGTACTTACCTGGCCATAAGTGAATGGTATGGATAGTAGACATTCTTTGAGGCGAACTGATTATCTAAAGAATGCTTTGACTCGAGGGATGAAGTCTGGTGAAGATTTGATAGTTTCCGAATGACGGAAATTAGTCGAGGTTTTGTAAGGATTTCTTTAAGTTTCTTGTGTGCAGCTGACCCTGTATAAAATAAATGATATTTTAAACTTTCGAAAAAGTTTTTATATTCAAGATGTGTGGAAAACTATGTAACCTGCTTTAATCCACGCTCTATCTAATTCTCCATGGGTACATCTCTGGAAGATCTTGTTTTCTTCATGAACATGCACGTCCATGATGTGATTTAAAAGGCTTCTCCATTTTTCTTCCCTCTCTTTTTCGTTTGTGGTTGAAATTGCCACCCAGTAAACGTGGTTAACGATTGACTGAAAATAGTTAAGTGAATTTTTATTGCCAATTCTTTTTGAGGTGTTTGTTAGAGAGGGAGGGTTGTCAATCTTATTACAATAAAACTCAATTGCAAAACAAATGAGAAAGGTAGATTTAAACCTGTCAAGCGTTTTCATTGAAAAGGAGAAGTGCTTATATCAAAAAGCATTTATTAGAGAGGCATTTGGGAACTATATATGTAACATTATAGCTGTCGTTTTAGATCATACTTGACAATTTATTTATGCTGATCTTATTTGCCTACCCCAATCCATAGCTTTATTTCTTTAAATTTCTTTGTCTTTGAGGCTTTCAAAAGCTTTTTCTTCACACCTATATTACACAAATAATATAGTTATTCTTACTAAGAATGTTGTATTCTTAAATATTTACCATGGATCTTCACGATTTACGTATTATAAATACTTGACAACTAGGCTTCTTACCCTTTGCAACATGCCACACATCGTAATTGTGCTCTATACTTGACTTTTCACTTGCCATATACGCAGATACTTGCACGTGTCTGTCTGTCACGAGTTTTTTAACTTCTACGTTTGCATTCTCAAGGTACGAAAGTTGCCTCTTCAGGGACTCTAATTCCATTCCATTGGAGTTTTAACTTCAGTACTCTGAAATTTAATTGATTTGATAAATTGCTATATCATCATTTGTGTAATTAGTAATAATATCATTGCTATGATTGCTATATCGTTATCTTTAACCGAATTAATCACGTGCATGGTGCGATAGCACAATTAAACATTGTATCTGAACCCTCCAATTACCTTTATAACTTGAGTATCTAAAATAACGTTTTGCTCTACGTCAAGTGTGCTACCAGAACCAAGAAGACCACTGTGTCCAGGGCTGTCCACACGCATGTCAGAAGCTATAATAACTGGTTTGTCTTTGATTCCATTGATCAAACTTTGTTGCTCTAATCTCCACATGTTAAATATTGCTGGTATTGCATATGTACTTTGAAGGTTTGACATTTCCCTTCTTTTAATACAGAGAATGTTTAACGATTCCATGAACCTTAACGTTTTATTCGACTCCATCCCTGTGCTTAAAATTGTTGAAGTTATGAGCAAGTTCATAGCAGGAAGCCGATTTATAAGAGGGCCAGTTGACCAAGAAATATCATGGTTTTGGTTTGATGAACACGATATATAGATCATGCAGTAACTTCCAATCCTGTTTCCTATTGAAACTGAGCAGCTGCTTCCACATTTTTGGCAAATCCCAAAGATATGTGCTATCGACTCTTCGCAAATGATAAATTTTAGCTGATTCTCAATAGACTTTTCGCGGGACAAGAGAACGCGGTCTTTATTTTGCTTTGATATTTCTTCAGTGCTCGCCTCCTGGTCAGATTGACTTTCTTCACTTGCCAAATGATCGAATTCCGTACAATAACTCCCGTCACAACTTTCATTACAATCGGATTCGCACAGTTCTTCTGGTGGTGGTCCGGAGATTTCAACGTTTGCGTCTGCTTTGCAAGATTCACGTGTTTTTGAAGAATCAACATATTGTTTAACAACATTTTCACTTGTTCCACATTCATTTGTTTTGGATGAGTCAACAATGTGCTCTTCAATAATATTCTCAGATGAGTCAGTTTGAGAACCAGTAGAATTCGTTTCGGGAAATACGAGTAATTTAGACAATGAATTCACGGTAAGGAGTGTCTGTGTACCTTTTGTTGCTGTCGTTGACAACATAGACTTCTTTGTTTGAGTGGTCTTATTCTTACCAAAATATTCGAGTGCAATGGTTTGGCAACTTGTACTCTTGAAGTTGCTACAATCAGCATTTACAATCTCTGATTCCTGCGGATGTTCAGTAGCGATCGTGTTGTCTTCGTTCACGATTTCGTTATTAGGTGGTAATTTGGATTTTGAAATCAACTCTTGAACATCCTTGATAAGACGAAAGGATAATGTTATTTGTAAGTGATTGACTGGTCGCAACTTATTATTTATCAAGTAGTTCGAGTTTTAAATGCGAAATTTTTTGGAAGAAAATTTTGTGCAGGTGGGGGCATATTAAATCGGGAGAGGTGGTAAATATCTTTCACGCCCCCTCCATAGGTTAATGCTTATCATAACCCATCATAACATATATCACCATAACATAGCATTTAATACATGTATCATATCCCATCACTATAAAGACCTGAAAAGCCAACTGAAAAATGACTAAATAGAACAAATTCTTGGGTTTCATATGACGTCATAGATTTCAGTGGGGGTCAACACTAAATCGAGACACAGTGATCGGAACGAATTAAATGTTCACTGTATGTGTTGGCCTTGTGTTTGCTAGCAAATACGTGCAATTTCGTATCATTTTCTCACTCCAGTACAGCATAAGCATCAATACAGTTGAGGTTGACCCCCACTCAGATTCACTGCATAATGGCGTAGTAAAACCCAAGAAAAAGTCTCTTTCGTCGCTTCAAATTTTATATCTCCCCTGCGCCAACCGTGGTAATGCCTCGTGAGTGTTGCCCCCTCCCCCCATTTTACCAATGTCCTTACGCTTGCCATGCTTATGGTGTCACAGACCTTGAAGCACGAATGAAATCAGCTAAACTGAGATTACTTCTATTTCTAAGGGAAATTATTAATTTTGTAAGTCCGAGACTTCAAATATCGTGGTATATAAAGTTTCTAATTAACAAAATTTTATATGAAAACATATGATCAGCATGATAATTGATAAAAGATGATTGAAAATAGTACTTACTTTCCGCCTTGCTAGAACTCCTGTATGTCTCCTCTTCGCCTGTCTACAATCACCATGAGTATCATTAACCATATCGAGTGGTTTATTTTTCGTGGGTACTGCGTCAGGTTTTAGAAATAATTTTCGCCTTTCTTGAAAGTTTAATGCAGACAAAAACTGAGAAGAATGCGAAGTAACGTAAGCATCTTCGCTAAAATGCAACGAACACAAACCCGAATATTTATTAAATGGAACAAAGCACTTTCGCTTGCAAAAGTCGACCCATATCTTGTTTCTTTTTTCCTCTGTTTTATTAGTTATCTTAAGGCCCGTTTACACTTGCAATTTCTGCTGCGATTTTAGGTGCGATTTTCTTCTTCTGATGGATGTGAACGAGTGGATGAGTTACAAATGTTGACATGAGGGTACATCAGTGGGACATATACTCAGAACATTCATAACTTATTCACTCGTTCATATCCAGCAGAAGACGAAAATCGCACTAGAAATCGCACTAAAAATTGCAAGTGTAAACGGGCCTTTAGGAAACGAAAAAAAGTGTATTTTCTTCTCGGGATTTCTTTTACTACTGCTGTTGCAACCATAAACTGGACAATACATGGCGAAACAAAACCAAAACAGTAGAATTTGTATTTCCCGCCAAAAACAAAGCCCTGTTGTGACATCACGTTGCATAAATTAGCATAATAAAAATCATAACAAGATGGCGGCGAAGACGCTATGATTTTGTTTCAACAATTACCATTTTCCAAGAAATAAAAGACAGAAATGGGGAATTTTTGTTATTTTCTTTCATATGTGGAGGTAATCTATTAAATTAGTTTTAGAAAAAATATGTTGCCATTTCCCTTTAAAAAGTTTGTGTCCTTTATAGTTTCAAACAATTATTCTGGTGTTTCCAACTTTTATTGAGGATAGATGGCTAATTATTCATTTATAAATAAAAGGATTAAATTACACTCGCCTCCCATCGATTGCTACTAAGCGGAAACGCGTCATGAGAAAACGCCTGCCTCGTACCCAGGCGGTATGTTGTTCTATTGCTCGCGTGGCCTTTGCGTGGGACGCGTGCCGTCCCACGTGTACAAACCAAAACGCCTGGGTACGAGGCAGAGAAAACGCGATCTATAAATTGGACATAGCTTGCGTAGCCAGCGGTTTGCCTCGCCTCCCTAATTTTCGTTGCCCGCGCCTCAACCCCAACCCTTAAAACTGCCGGCTACGCAGGCTAATTGGACATGAAACATAACATGTTTGGACTTCAATCTTTACATGATTTTGCTGGAAACATTTGACGGTTTACAATTATTTTTTCCGCGAAAACGTAACAAAGTTAGTACAAACATTACAAACCGCAATACTGAATTTGTCCACTATAAACACAAAATATAAGGCCTGTTTCATACGTCGAATTTAATTCAGACGAATTTAATCACGGATTTAGTGTTTGCAAGCTAATCCCCGCCCAATATGAATGTGTTTCTAAATTTGAAATATTGACAGTTGACTGGGAGTGTCAATATTTCAAATCCAAATTTCAAGTCCAAACAAATCATGTTTGACAGCCAATTGGACGCGTTTTCTCATGACATGTTTCTGCTTTATAGTTGCAATCAACGGTATATTGTTCATGTGCTTCGAAATGCTTCGAATTTGCTTCGAACTTCGAAGGTTCGAAGCGTCTTCAAAAATCATAATTAAGAATTTTTTTGATGAATCACCGCTGACCGATATAGCAGCAGTCCATATGCAAATCCAGGGCGTTTGCCCCCGGGGTTAATTTTCAAAATACAAATGTAGGCTAAATCCCGGGTCTCCGGGGCGTGATTTTAAAACAAATTCCGTGCCATGCCCGGGGGTTGCCCGTGAGTTGCCCGGGGGTCGACCCCCCGGGAAAGCCGCTGATACCTGCATAACATTAATTATAAAATATGACACGACCTACATTTGGAAACTCTCGAAAATTTGATAGTATAAGTAAAAAACCAAGATCAAAATCTATTTTGGTTAGTACTTGGTACAGACCACCTGACTCTCCTGCGAGTCATTTCTGTGATTTTGAAAAAATGATCGGTTCATTTGATGCGGAGAATTTAGAGTATTTCCTGCTTGGTGACCTAAATGTAGATCTCTTGCCAACAACTGGATCACTGAACAGTAATAAATTGACAGACATATTAGATATCTATGGCATAGAGCAGTTGATAAATGAATCTAGCAGAATTACCGCTACAACTAGTACTCTAATTGATCTGTGTCTTACTAATACACCCTCTAATATTGCAAAATCGGGTGTCGTACATTTATCAATAAGTGACCATTCATTCGGCTATATGATACGTAAGGCTCATTATGTACGAGAAGGTACTAGAACAGTGGAAATTAGGTCATTGAAGAATTTTAATAGAGAAAGCTTTTTAAGAGATTTAGAACAAAAACAGTGGCATAACATATGTTGTTCCCAGGATCCAAACGAAATGTGGGAGATGTGGAAAAACATGTTAATGGCAACAATTGATAAGCATGTACCACTTAGATCTAGACGCACTAGAAAGCGTAATTCCCCTTGGATCACAAATGAATTAAAGCGCAGGATATATAATAGAGACTACTTAAAAAAGAAAACTATTTCATCAAACTAATGCTGAAATTAAGAAACTTAAGCGAGATTATTTCACAAAAAATCTAGAGCTCAATAAACATAATATGAAAAAGACATGGGAACTAATTAATGAATTGAGCTCTAGAAATACTGGAAAAACGAAAAGAATAAGTGAAATAAATTTGGGGGAACAAGACATAACCTCGCCTGTTGAAATAGCCGAAGCATTTAACAGCTACTTTTCTAGTGTTGGTGACAACCTTGCCGCCGAAATACCATATCCTGATCATGATCCGAAATTCTATCTTGAACCATCCGATAAAACGTTTACATTGCAAACTCCGACTGTTGATACCGTTCACAGATTTTTGTGTACAATTGATGAGAAGAAATCTGTTGGTCTAGATAAAATACCCAATAAGTTATTGAAATTAGCGGCAGAAGTGATTGCGCCTTCTTTAACTGGAATATTTGCTACATCTATAAATACAGGAATATTTCCGCGTGAGTTGAAGGCGAGCAGGGTGTTACCAATATTTAAGAGTGGTGCTAAAACTGACCCAAGTAACTATCGGCCTATATCCGTTATTCCAGTGGTTGCAAAAATTTTTGAAAAAATCATTTTTGATCAATTATATGAATATCTTAATACGAATAAGCTGTTAAGTCCCTGTCAATCTGGATTCCGATCAATGCATAGCACATTAACGGCACTAATTGAGGCTACAAATAGTTGGCCCGTTAATATTGACAATGGACTAGTAAATGGAGTTGTCTTTATTGATTTAAAGGAAGCTTTCGATACGATTGATCACGACATTATGTTGCTAAAACTTGAAAATTATGGAGTTGAGCGAAATAGCCTAACTTGGTTTAAATTGTATCTCACCGATAGAACTAAAAAATGTCTGGTCAATGATCAATTGTCAAACTCCGTCCCAATAACCTGTGGCGTTCCTCAGGGAAGCACTTTGGGGCCACTACTTTTTCTTGTCTATATTAATGATTTACCAAACTGCCTCAATCATACAACACCCAGAATGTTTGCAGATGATACGAGCGTCAGTTATGCCTCAAATTCTGTTGAAGAACTGGAAAATATCATGAACTCTGACCTCAAAAATCTCAATAGTTGGCTTACAACCAATAGATTAAGCTTAAATATCGTAAAAACAGAGTTTATGATTATTGGTTCTCGCCAGAAAATAAGAGTTACAGATGGGGAAATGTGTATTAAGATAAATGATAATAAAATAAATAGGGTTGATTTCGTCAAATCCTTAGGGCTACGCATTGACGAACAAATTTCTTGGTCAGTACATATTCGCAAATTATGTAAAAAAATTGCTTCAGCTATAGGCGCTTGAAAACGCATTAGACCGTTTATTACCATGAACACTGCTATTCAAGTTTGCCAATCTTTAATTCAACCTCATTTTGACTACTGTTGTTCGGTCTGGGACGGTCTTGATGAAACATTAAGCTGTAAAATACAGAAATTACAGAACCGAGCGGTAAGGGTCATTACGAGGTCTAGCTACGATACCAGTGCAAGCACCCTATTAAATACTTTACACTTAGATCGCCTTTTCTTAAGACGCAAAAAGCTTAAGGCTGGCCTAATCTTTAAGACTCTCAAAGGGAAAGTACCGTCATATCTACAAGACTTTTTTCAGTTCGTGACACAGGGTACAATTTAAGAAATTCTGAGATGAGATTAAATTTGCCCAAGCCACGAACAAATTACTTAAAACGAAGCTTTTGTTATAGTGGTACCTACTTGTGGAACAGTCTTCCTCCAGACATACGAAAGCTTCAAACATTTCCACAATTTAAGAAAGCTGTAGATAAGTATTATAATAATTCAAGTGAACTCCCACACGGCAATCTTGTAAACCAGTAGCAGATAAATTTTATATAATTTTTTTATAATTGATGTGTGTATGAAACTTATAATTGTCTTATTACGCTTATAATATTTAGATTATCCATGTACTGAAGATTTTAACGTGTTTAAATAAATTTGTATTGATTGATTGATTGATTGATTGATTGATTAATTGATTGATTGATTGATTGATTGATTAATTGATTGATTGATTGATTGATTGAAGAAAGAAAACGAGAATTATGTGGGACCGATCCCATCCACTCCCTACTACAACCCGAACGGAATGAGTCCTGCAGCGAAGGAAACGTTTTTACATTGGCATAGAAATTTGAAGGACAACGACTACGTGTTCAACTTCCAAGAGGAAATTCTCGCTTATTGTCGTTCCGATGTGGATATTCTGCGACGCTGTTGCTTGGAATTGCGCGAACTGTTCCGTGACGTTACTAAAATCGATCCCTTTGAGAAATGCCTTTCCATCGCGTCCGCATGCAATCAAGTGTATCGGACAAACTATCTTCGAGAAAACACCATTGCCATCATCCCACCGCGCGGTTACTGTCCCGAGGACGTCCAGTCCCTTCTTGCCCAAAGATGGTTGTCGTATACGGCCGAACGAAACGAAATTGACATACAGCATGATCGTAATGGAGGAGAGAAGCGTGTTGGTCCGTATTTGGTGGACGGTTATCATGAAGAAACCCACACGGCCTATGAAGTTCATGGATGTTTTTGACATCAATAAGGTCTTAAAGAAGAAAATCGGTGATGACGGCATATACTTTACATATACACCTAAAGAAACCCGGGCATAAAGTCTTCATAGCTCGAAGAATATCACTCGTCCTGGGATACGCTGGAAAAGAAACAGTCATTGATGTGGCAAAAAGGGCAGCGCAAGAAAGTCCGCACGCAGCAGATCTAAATATCTTTTCAACAATCTACACATACTGCAATATCGTTCAGCCGCACGTCGTTGGAGATACGAGTGCGCAGTTACTTCGAAGCATTCCCGTCGAAGGAAAGTATGGTGATATCGTTACGAAGACGTTTACCAACATACAATACGTGCCTGTCCAAACGAAATCCTTCGGAGACGTGGAAATTCTTTTAAGGAACGACACGGGCGATCCAGTGCCATTTGAACGGGGGAAGGTGCTGACAACACTACATTTCAGACAGCATACATACTTCACTTGAGGAAGATGAATAATCCGTACGTACGTTATTATTTGGATCAACAACAGGGGCGTGGCATTCCCGTGTTCAGTGGCAGCCCCTGGCAGGTGGGGTACGGCTTAGGGGGCTTGTTTCGTAGTCTTGCAAGAAGAGCCATGCCTTTGATCAAAACCGGTGCAAAAGCTCTTGGAAACATTGCTCTAAAAAGTGGGACAGACTTTGTGGGCGATGTTCTCGCCGGTAGAAACGTCAAAGAAGCGGCAAAAGCACGAACCGTAGAGGCCGGCAACGTTGCAAAAAGAAAAGCTATAAGAAATCCCTCCCTGAGAAAAGATAACCTTTTAAATGGATTGGTGCCGAAAACATTTGTCTTCGGATTGGTCGAAAGCGAAGTGTTTAACGGTGCTTTGAAAAAGAATCGGTACAATTTTCAACATTTCAACGTGTCTTCCATTGGAATAACCGTGAACGGAGAAGAAATGCCATTTAAACCCTTGCAGCTTTCCTATGGTGCAGCAGCTAAATACATCGAAGCATTCAGCACCCTGTTTTCTGGTACGGGGAAAATGTATCACAACACAGGAAACGATATATCTCGAGACGAATTCCCAAAAGGCAACGCCGTGTACGCATATGACCTTACACCGGATATGTGTGGAGCCTCTCCTCATTTTAACGTGGTACAGACAGGAAATTTGGCCATTGATATCCAGTTCTCAGTAGCGCCTGCAGCCGCAGTGAGTCTCGTATGTTACGGAGAGTTCGAGAATACCGTGCACATCGATTCCGAAAGAAACGTTGTCTACGATTACTCTGGATGAACACTGCCCAGCTAACCCATGCCTTGGAACAAGATCCCGTAACAAGCAAGAAGTTTTGCGGCGTGTTCCCTAGCGACAAGCTACCTCAGACGATAGACAGATATCCGTGTGGATTCGTAGCGAACACTGATACAAGCAGTAGACCTGAAACCCATTGGGTCGCCTTCTACTTTCCATCGGAAGAGAAAGGAGAATTCTTTGACAGTTACGGACATGCACCCGAGTACTATAGGAAATCGTTTGGAGACTTTTTAAAGTCTCGCGCATGGGATTTTAATAGACGTAAATTGCAAAGTGCTTGGTCGGATGTATGTGGCCAGTATTGCATATTTTACCTTAGCCATAGAGCAAGAGGTCAGAGCATGAGTAATATCGTACTTTTATTTAACAATGATACGATTTTAAATGATACAAAAGTATCCCAGTTTGTTAAGACGCATTTTAAGGTATTGTTAAAACATTCCAATGGTAACCTTAATCAGTTCAGTAAAAAGATGTTTTCAACAAAATTGTTGTAAAAAACTATAGCGTGTGTTCTTTTTATTCTGCGCATGCGCACAAACTCACGTCCCACATGCGAATCGTGCATAAAAATACCGCCCCAAAGAACTGACGTTAATACAAAATTGGTTTTAATAACATTTTATTATTACATGCAAACTGTTACAACATTTTTTAATAAGGAAGGTGATGTTGGTGGCGGTGGTCTCAGTGGCGGTGTCTTAAAAACAACCTCTTCCGCGCCAGACGGACTGCCCCTTTGAACCTGATTCCATCTTTCCGTGTTTCTTGCAATATCTTTGGGTACATTAATCTTTGACAGTCCGCGAAAGAATTCCTGCGTTCCCTTGGTATTAAATTCCTACGTGCCTGCATGGCATCACTGACAAAATCTGATATATTCGAATCAGGAATCGCTTTGCCGTCCACTTTAACTTGACCAGATTCGTCCCAGGAAATAACGTCGGGTCTTGCTTTCAAACGTTTCAAAAGAGTTGCCGCTTTCGGGCGCAGGGTTACAGGTAAATGACCGATCACGTCCGCGTCAGATAAAGGCGGAGCCTCTTTGGACTTCCGTTCCGCATCCGGTGCTATGCGGACAGTAGGTATTTGATCGTCCTTTTGCCGCCTCAAACTCAGATAACTTTCCATGTTCGCATTGTACAATTTCTGTTTTTCGGCATCGGATATGTCCGTACTCTGAAGAATCTCTGACATCGCCGTATCCTGGTGCATCATGTTCGATGTAATTGGGGTGGTCTCAATCTTTTGTTTCTGTTCATAACGATTAAGCACGTCCTCCGGGACCAATACCATGCGTTTCGCATGCTTCATACTAACAAACTTCCGAGTACACTCAACATGGGTGGTAAGAGAGCTGACAATAAATTTCCACCTTTTTGATTAAGGTACAACTTCTTCCGTTTCCTCGATACTTTCTTACTGGCCAGATCACGGAGGTGTGTCTTGTAACGCGCTAAACGTCGCTTTTGCCGAGGTGTTACCGGAATGACACCTTTAAGCAAATTCAAGGAACACTCAAAAATAGCTGTGATGACATTCGCTGGAACGTTATCAATGAGTAATTTTCGCAATTTAGGTTTAGATTTGACGATGACTTGAAGATACGGAAGACTTCCTCTCATGCGCTTTGACATCTTGCAAATGATGACTTTCCATGACACACGTAGTTTGAGTACGTTTCACATAAACAATCTGTCTCTCTTTGGGTAAAATGTTGGTCTTCGGACGCATATTTTCAGGTGTCAGCTGATGACAATCGATGACTAAATGTTCGTACGTAAGGCCTACTCGTCGCATCGTGAAATGCATCCAGAAGGTATCCGGTATGTTTAGGAAACATCTGTCTGGCAAGTGTGGAAACACCAAGCGAGTCACGTGGGTTTCTAAACACGATTGTTCAAACGTGATTGTTCAAACTAATCGTTCGAGAACGTTCGCCTGGCGGGAACAAATTCTGGGTAAGGTACAGCACGGACATGCCAAGGTGATGGGAATCACGTGTAAACGAGTCCGAGACACGTGATCGTTGGAACATTGAGACATCAAGTCATCTAGAACGATTAACGAGCTATCATGTCCGCGGGTCATCTTGCATAAATTATCGGCAAATCCTTCCACGAGAGTTAAATTAGGCATTGATTGTAACATTTCTTCGAATTCTTTCTGATATATGCCGTAACAGTATATTATTTTAGTTGGCACGGGATTAAATAGTTCCTCTGGATGCCGTAACATGGAACGAACCAAATAAGATTTCCCGCTTTGACTGTGTCCACATATATAAACGTTCGCTGGCGTTTTAAATCTCACGTCCATCGTGTTCACGTGCACAACACGCACTGCGTTATGATTTGATGTGTTCGTTCGTCTTACAACCCGATCCGAGAAATCATTCTACGAAAAAAATTCTCTTCTTCAATTCGATATGCACTAAGATCAAGGCTTCTTAGAGGGGCGCAACCAAGCGAACGGCCCTACGTGTAGTATCTTCGGAATTGTGCATCAAATAAAGTAATGTCAGATAGGCCATAGTACGGCCAAAATTAGTCACGTTGATCGTGTTAAAAACAATATGCATTTCATTAGGATTAACATTCACTACCATTTGATTGTACGTTGCTTCGTGGTCCTCAAGCAAATCATTAATAGTACGAGATAATGTTCTCATGTTAATAACAACGCCCCGTGTTTGCAATTCGTCTAGTATCAACAATTTATTTATATATGCAGAAAAAGGGGCTATGGCGAACACGATATATATATATATATATATATATATATATATATATATATATATATATATATATATATATATATATATATATATATATATATACATATATATATGTTTAGAGCAAAAATATTGTTAGTTTTGCCGTGACGTCATAGCTCCCAAACAATAACAGTGGCTGTCCTGCCTGGATTAGAACGCCCAGTCAACAATCGGGCCATCGGGCCTAATCGGGCCAAAAAGTGCCATTTCGGGCCTAATCGAGCCAAATATAATATCCGGAACTCGAAAAAATGAGCTAATTATTGATAGGAATTCGTTGAGCAAACATGGGTCGCACACGTAGGGACTGTCCTGTATTTGGTTGTAGTAGTACATATCTTGCAAGGTTAGCAAATCATCTCGATCAAGTACATGGTATGAACACAGAGGAACGCAAGAAATGGTTAAAGTGGAGTAAAATAGGAATTTGTGTACGTCGACAGAGTGAAGAGCAAAAAGAATAGAAAAGAGTCTGGAAAATTTACTAGAGCGACAAGAAGTGATGGAGAGAAACTTTAACGTTTACTTACAAAATGCAAGATTAAAGCATGGAGACAATAGTAAACGAAAATCTAAATCGGAGGACCACAAGGGATGGTTGGCATTTTAGTTTATTTACTCGACTACGAGAAAGTACCATTGTTGCTTGCGAACAAGAAATGATGTGCATTCAATGTTATGGATGTTAACTTTGTTAAGCCCGTAAAGCATTAAAAGACAGAACTACTAAACGGACGATGGAACAGTTTGCAACGATCTAAACTGGAGAAGCCGGACAATATGTTTAAGAACTGTTTATTTGTGTAAATATTATTGTACTTTAAAAAATAAATTGTTTAAAAACTGAATCTATGCAGTGTCAATTTATGCGAGTCTCATTAGCATTAACATTTAATACCATTTGACTGTACAGCGCCCGTGATGCTCAAACAAATATTTGACATGATGGGATAATGTTCTCATGTCAATACCATTTCTGGAAGCCCATCTAGTATCGCTTCCATTGCAACGCCAAATGAATACAACAAGTGAAACAATTTATTTATATGTAAAAATCATGACTGACGTCATCATGTACAACATTTCATAAAAGAAAAATTACACGTAATCATCTACAACTTTAACTCGTTTGCAAAATCATGCATGAATTTAGTTGCTAAATAACTGTTCTTATTGCAACTCTGACCCTAATGGAACTCATGGACCATTAGAAAAAAGTGATACGTTCACAGATTGAAAAAATCCCAATTGTTCGTCAGGTGCCCACTCGAAAAACCGGCACGAACTTTCCTTGTCCTTCGGACAACTAAAGAACAATCGATCTTTGTTAAGACCTTCTTTTTTCACCTTACAGACCACACACGGCAATCCATGGCGACATTCCGGTTTCGCTAATGGCTGCACATCACCCCACATCCAAAAGGAACAAGGCTTCGTCTTTTCTCCACACACGAAGAACGGTCTTCCATTATTCACTTTCATCAAATCTTTTACCACACACATTTTCGCAAGTTTACTCTGTCCACCACATCGAGGATGACGCTGTTTCGTAGCTCTCCAAGCTGTTATGGCTTTTTCATACATGTAGCCTTCATCTTCCGCACAGAAGAAATTGCAGGTAGGATTCTGATTGCAAAACCAAAATGAACCATTTTGAGTTGTCGAATGAGCAGCGGGTTCGCCATGTAAGCACTTCATCTTTTCACAAAAGCTATAATCACATAAACAAAAATCGCTCGTCCCTCTATTTATATACTCCATCCAAAACAGCTAACCAATCAGAGATGGGTATGGTTATGACGTAGCCTAAGGGTGTACGTACACTGTGTACGTACACCATGTACATACATAGTATACGTACGGGGTGTACGTACACCGTGTACGTACACCGTGTACGTACACCTCTAGTATAAATACACTTCCCCATAATCATCAACCACACATCGAGATGGAATGCATAGGAGTTTTACCAGCGCCTGAAGATGTTATACAACCAACAAATATACCTCTATTCGGAATCCTGGCGGAAAATACCACAGAACCGGGACAGTGCTATTTCTGCTTTGAACAGATTGATCGAAACGAACTACTTGCGATGACGATGCAATGCTGTCAACAAAAAGCTCATTGTCAATGTTTCCAAATGTGGGCGGCGCAATACAACGGCACAGACGTCGAAACCGTACGGTGCGGGTATTGCAGAACACCATTCCAGGACAAGAAACTCTGTTACCTGTGCTTACAGAATAAAAACAACGGACAAGAACTAAACAAGACCCGATGCTGTCAAACAACGATCCATAAAAACTGTACGGAAATACTAAAAGAAATACTGACCAAGCTGACATTCGAATTTTCGCTGGAATGTGGCGAATTAACCTTTTGTGGATGCATCTGGCACAAACTCTAAAAAACATTATAATTATCAAACATCTCTACTGTAAACTACTGTAAAAATTCAATAAATTGTTTTCAAATATTCATCGCTGTACGCCATTTTGAACATTTCCTTACTTTCGGGTTTCCATGACGTCATTACTTCCGCCACTCCTGCATACTAATTACTTCCGCCGCTCTATTCGCTCCTGCATACTAATTACTTCCGCCGCTATACAGACGGGGTAATACTACTAGGGTTAGACTAAGATTAGATTAGGATTAGGGTTGGGGGTTGGAGGTTAGGGGTTAGAGGTTAGGGTGGTGGTTGGGTGGGGGTTAGGTTTAAAATTAAGGCAATGTCTTAATTTGAACGCTTTTTACAATTAAGACATAGCCTTAATTTTCGGATGAGATCGAGCTGACCGAATATACAATATTTCACGGCATGGTCTACTTTCCAGACCCCGTTGAAGATATAAGAAATCCATTAATTAAATTAAATAAATAATGCTTATAAGTAAGTCACAAACGAGAGATCCTAGACGCATGTAGAGGTCTTATTACCTATCCCGAAATCAAAATAAATCAGAAATAAATCACGTAAAATTAAACAAAAGTTAGAAAGTAAAAAAATACTTCGCCACAACATGAAAATAACGAAGTAAAACGTTACTTCTTAAAATGACTTCGTTCCAAGTAGAAGTACTCGAGAAAAGTTTACTTTGTTACGTGCTCACTTCTCAAAAATAGTACTCAAGTACAGTAACGAAGTACATTTACTTCCTTACTTGACACCACTGATATTGACGAACTTCCAATCAGCATGAATGATAAAGAAATAGATGTTCTTGCAATTAATGAAACACGAATGGACGATAGTGTGCCAATTTCCAGTCAATACCAATGCAAGGTTACAATTGGATTTCCAAAAACAGAAATAGATCTGGGGGTGGTATCGGTTTTTTCATTAGAGATTCAATAAATTTTCGACCTCAAACTGACCTGAATAATCTTGATATTGAAATTCTTACAATACAAGTTAGTAAACAGAACGTTAATAAAGCCGTTCTTAATTACAACGTGGTATCGTCGACCAAATGATCCAATTGACACCCTTTATAGATTTGAGAATTGTTTACAACTAATCGATGATGACAACAAAAAAAGTATTATTTTAGGAGATGTAAATTATGACTTTTTATCCGCAAGTCTATCTCTCCAAGCTTCGGAATTCAAATTTATTACAGGACTGTATCAATATGAACAATTGATAAGTGAACCTACAAGAGTTACTAAAGATACTCGGATCACTTTTATACAACAAATCCTGATAACATTATTTCAAAGGGAGTGTCAACTGTTTCCATAAGTGATCACTATCATATTTCTGCATGGCATCAGAAAATTTAAGGTCTGCAAAGAAAATACAAAAATAATCGAATACCGCGACTACAAACATTTCAACGAACAAATATTCTTGTGCGACCTGCGAAATTACTTATCCGATTTTCACCTGGACCACACTATCCAAATATATCATGACAGGTTTGGAAGAATAAATTCTTCAGAATCTGGAACAACCATGCCCCAGTAAAAAGACTAAGCGGCTACCTTGGGTAACAACAGACCTAATTCACAATAAACGACATATTAATTTCCTACATAGGAAAGCTAGAAGTACCAACACAACTGATGCCTGGTCTGTCTACAGAAAGGCAAATAAACAATACAATACAATAGGCAAACAGAAGATACGAAGTGCTCGTATTGCCGAGGCAAACTACATAGCAATTCAGGAAATTTTAAACAAACATGGAAAACACTTAATAAAATCCCAGAAATGAAAGATGAGAATGGTGAAATAATTGACGAAACGCTGATCCCTGATGCCTTTAATAAATACTTTGTTGAACTAGGGGAAAAACTTGCGAATAAATTCTTCGATCGAGTATTTTACTACCAGATAGTTTTCTCAGTGATGTATATACACCATCCAGTTAACGGGCTCCCTAGCTTTCAGGAATTTTTGAAAATGATGTTTTGAAACAACTTCATGGTTTAGGGTCCAATAAGACATCGGGAATCGATGGTATCTCCTCTCGTATCTTAAAAATTTCGGCAGCAGTTATTTCACCATCCCTAACATCAATATTCAACCAATCAATCTTAACAGGCATATTTCCCAATGATTGGATAATCGCTAGAATTACTCCGATCTTTAAGTCTGAAGCTAAAGATGAAATGACAAACTACAGATCAATATCCGTCATGTCAGTAGTTGCCAAAATTGTGGAAAAGCTGATTCATTACCAAATCTACAATTATTTACACAACTATAACCTGCTTTCAAACTCCCAACACGGATTTAGACCACTTCACTCAACTGTTACAGCATTGCTGGACATAACCAACGAGTGGTATACAAATATTGACATTGGGAAACTAAATGGGATTGTGTTTTTGGATCTGAAAAAAGCATTCGATACTATCGACCACAATATACTCTTAGACAAAATAGCAATTTATGGAATAAAGGGAACGGCACATCGCTGGCTGAAGTCGTACCTATCAAAGTGAAGTCGTATCTACAATTGTGTGAATGGTAAACTATCAAGTCCATCAATTATGAAAACAATCCTGCGAACACGTCTCGGGCTACTACGCGGACGGTCTATCAGCTGCAGACTCAGGTAGGAGGCTCACAGTCTCGGCAGAACACAGGTTTGTTGAATGCTCCATTGCTTTGTCTCAACTATAGCGAAATAGTTGGCGTAGAAGCTCACGCCGTTCCGTCTGTAAACCTCGCGCAAACTCGATCCAATGAAATATGGGGAAAATCACGAACTTGCTAGACACTAGTGTTCATCTGTGTTTGTTTCTAATCGAGGCCCAAAAACGCTTTGTCCTTTTCCTTGGCAGATCTCCAATTCCAGTAAAACTGGTTAAACGTTGTGCCAGATTCATGTGCGCACTAGAGCCCAAGAAAAAGGCGGTATAAGCCAGTTTGTGGATTATTTAGCCATAGATATATGGTACTGTATATCGTACGTTTCATGTATATAATAATGAGCAGCCCTACATCTTGATATTTTTCTTGTCAGCACAACACTCACGAGGCGTGTGTGGTGAAGAACTGCATGCGAGTTGCTGACCTAGTTGTGATTGAAGCCGGACTTGTTATACTGAGACGGCAAACATAGGTTTCGAGACACTTTCGTAAATGCCGTGGCGGCAGGCATATGAGATGTTCATACAATAGTTACGCAGAACGGAACACAAGTCTTTGTGGTTTCATATTATTAGTAAATATGTTTCTCCACTATAGCCTGGCCTAACGGTCGACGTCAACAGTGTAAATTTTCACCCTGATATATTGCCAATATGGTACACTTTTACATGAATGCCTGTATAACAGAAAATTAACTTATTTACTTGTCTTGGTTTCACACTGCGTTTAAGCCACTGAACCTGGAATGATGACATCTTATAGCGGCAATTAATTATGCGATTAGCCTTACTCACTTCCTGAAGTTGCAAACTCAGTTTGCAGATCCCGCTGTTTTTTGTTTGTTTGTTTTTTTCAAAACGTGCGCGGTCGTAAGGTAAGTTAGGTGAAACTCCGCAGGCGGCCGTTTTCGGGCGATCTGGTTTGACAGAATACTTAGTTACGGTGGTATCAGATAACTTTCCTATTAACGTTGACATTTGCACACACAAGTGACAGCACATCCTGATCGTATAAAAGTTAATCACAGCCGCCTTAATGGTTTCAAAGAGGGGGTTTTTCGCACGGAGTTTTTTATAGAGATCAATTCCTCTAATATCCACACTGTCAAACTGTTTCTGAGCGGATGCTCATGCATACACATGTTATTGATAAGTATCTGGCGGAAGAAATTCATGCGCGGTGGGGATTGGGCCTTTGACCACCCTCCCTCTCCAAATTATACAGCATTCGCTTTGCCTTTGGAGTAATTCCGAAGAAAAACAAACCAAGGACTAATTTTTGACGTATCATTTCTAACTGATCATAGCGTTAATGTTGGCATCTTGAAAAACGAATTTCCAGTCGTGTACAGTACTGTTCCAGATGCCATCAGAATGATAGTTATGTTTCCCGGCAGCGAACTGAACTCGATCACCATGACAACACGTTTGCCTGATGATAAATTACTCGAACTGCGAATCACGAGAACTGCGAATCACGATAGTAGCGTGGAAGAACAAGAAGCGTTACACACGTAAGGAATTAGAATCCTTCGTGGGTAAACTCAGCCATGCCGGTGTGGTTGTGGCACTTGGCCGCACATTTCTGCAACGCCTTAAAAATCTGCTTCGATCATCCAAACCCCACCAGAAATTCATTCGCTCTAATTTTAGTGGCGGCAAAATACGATTTTTCGCATATCTGCAGCACATGTCCCTGGTAAACAGAACGTAATTGCTGACGTACTATCTCGCTTTAATTTGCAGGAGTGCTTGCGACTGGTCCCACATACTAAATGTACAGTCGTACTCCTAGCATTATTGAAGGAAGTCGGGGCTTGCCTGATCGCCCAAACGTAACTTGACTAAGGCAAGTGGTAGTCTAGTCTATATGTACACACTTTGTAATTCACAATGTTCGTGCGATAATGTGTGAATAAACCATTTTATTATGCTTGTTTTACCATATCGGCTGGTAATAACCTCCGGAATTTAATGTGCCTTATGCTTGTCTTACCATATCGGCTGGTAATGACGTCTGGAATTAATGTGACTTATGCTTGTTTTACCATATCGGCTGGTAATAACCTCCGGAATTTAATGTGCCTTATGCTTGTCTTACCATATCGGCTGGTAATGACGTCTGGAATTAATGTGACTTATGCTTGTCTTACCATATCGGCTGGTAATGACCTTCGGAATTTAATGTGCCTTATGCTTGTCTTACCATATCGGCTGGTAATGACGTCTGGAATTAATGTGCCTTATTATGCTTGTCTTACCATATCGGCTGGTAATGACCTTCGGCATTTAATTTGCCTTATGCTTGTCTTACCATATCGGCTGGTAATGACGTCTGGAATTAATGTGCCTAATTATACTTGTCTTACGATATCGGCTGGTAATGACCTTCGGAATTTAATGTGCCTTTTGCTTGTCTTACCATATCGGCTGGCAATGACGTCTGGAATTAATGTGCCTAATTATACTTGTCTTACCTTATCGGCTGGTAATGACCTTCGGAATTTAATGTACCTTTTTCTTGTCTTACCATATCGGCTGGTAATGACGTCTGGAATTAATGTGCCTTATTATGCTTGTCTTACCATATCGGCTGGTAATGACCTCCGGAATTTAATGTGCCTTATTATGCTGGTCTTACCATATCGGCTGGTAATGACCTTCGGAATTTAATGTGCCTTATGCTTGTCTTACCATATCGGCTGGTAATGACGTCTGGAATTAATGTGACTTATGCTTGTCTTACCATATCGGCTGGTAATGACGTCTGGAATTAATGTGACTTATTATGCTTGTCTTACCATATCGGCTGGTAATGACGTCTGGAATTAATGTGACTTATTATGCTTGTCTTACCATATCGGCTGCTAATGACGTCTGGAATTAATGTGCCTTATTATGCTTGTCTTACCATATCGGCTGGTAATGACCTCCGGAATTTAATGTGCCTTATTATGCTTGTCTTACCATATCGGCTTGTAATGACGTCTGGAATTAATGTGACTTATTATGCTGAACGAATATGTTAAAGGACATATTGAATAAGAAAGGACTGAGACAGTCACCTTGTAAAACGCCACGTCCGATTGTGATAAAAGGAGTACTGAACTGTTCTGTTATAATGGATGTTTGTAAGTTTGTATAAAGACTTCGTATTAGGTTGTTTATTTGACCTGGGATGTGATGATACTGAAGGATTTCGTGAATGAGATTATGATGGAGTTCACCGAAAGTTGAAAAACAGTACTTAGTGTTCCTGAGATTGAAATTTCAAGCCATTTACGGATATATTGGTTGACTACGGGATCAATATTCTCAATAACCCATGTTTTAGAAAGTGTGGCGATGGTGAAATGCCACGACATTTTGGATAAGACATAACGACTGTACACGAAAAGCTTATTTCTTGGGTGGAGTGGCTTCGAGTCAATATCAGTCATTAGTTCGTTAACGAGAGTGGTTAGATCAGTCTTATGGTTGTTATTCGACATGTTAAAATCAAAGTAACGTCCTAGATATTGAAATGCTTCTCCAATCTTTATGACTGGTATCAGATTATTGTTGATGATGAGTTTGGGCAAATATTGGACTGATTTTGTGATGGCTTTCTTGATGCCAAAGGTACTACATTTATCAACTCTGATAATCATATTGGACCATTGGCACCAAATGGAAAAACGATTTAAGAGATGCTGCTTTTCAGATTCTTGGCCAGTGATTACGGCTGCGTCATCAGCGAACTGGAACCAGTGGATAGGATTGAATTGCTTGAAGGAGAAACCAGACTGACGGAATTTTTCAGCTTTGATATGTTGGATGAAAATATTGAAGCACATGTTGAAAAGAAGAGGACTGAGGCAATCACCTTGCAATACGCCACGGCCAACAGATATAAAAGGGGTGCAGAATTCGGAAGTGATTATCGAGGTTTGGAAATCAGTGTATAAACTTTTTATAACCAATTTAATGTGTTCAGGGATGTGGTGATAGCCGAGTACTGATTGGATGAGATTATGATGGACTTCGCTGAAAGCATTCTTCAGATCAAGTAGGGTGATGACAACAGAGCGTTGTTTGATACAGGCTTTATTAATGATGTCAGCCATTTGCGCAGTGTGTTCTAGAGTGCCAGATAGGTTAGGGGTGAAACCCTTTTGTATGTCGTGTTCGATAAAGTTATTGGATGCGAGGTAGGAATATATTGCGTTTCGAAGACAGGATGTAAATACTTTCAATGGTATGGACTCAAGTGTTATGGGACGAAAATTTGACGGATCATCAGTGTTGCCTTTCTTATGTGTTAATATAGTACAGGCTTTTTTCCATTCATTCGGGACAGTTCCAGATAGCCAAATTTCTTGAATTAATTCACTGAGGTAAGTTCTCAGATAAGGACATCGCTTAAAACATATTATCGAAAGCTGATCAAGGGGGCAAGGAGACCCAGACGATTTCATTTTACGTATCATATTAGTAATTTGTTGGTAAGTCGGGGGGGGTCAAGCTTGAATTGAACTTCGGGTTCAGATAACTTTGGAATCCAGCTGGGAATGTTAAACAGTCTATTGGGATTAATTTTAGCCAGAGATTTAAAAAAATAAGTAAAGCAATCTGTCACGTTAAATGATGGTAATATTGAGTCCTTCCTATTGATAACGTTTTTAATATAACCCCCAAAGTTCCGTCCGATATAATTGTCGTGATTGAATGACTCATTGCTGCCAGAGGTTAGCCCATCGTTGTTGTTATTACGAAGCTTATCACGCACTGTACGGGAAACGTATTTAATTTCACTAAGATCACCTTTGTTGGATTTTAAATTTTGCAAAGCTTTCTTTAACTCCTTTACAGTATAATCTTTATATTTATCAACCATACTCTTGTCAGGTACTGTTTCGTTATGTCCAAAGTTATCTGCAAAAATAATAATAATAATAATAATAATAATGGAAACTTTATTTTGACATTTTATGTATATACAATTATAAATCTCACTAATTAAGGTAATTTATAATTGACTACTTGAACTATTAATTATTGATAAAGCTATATTACAGGTATAAAACTAAGAGAAAGCTCATTCTTAAATGTTCATCAAGTCCGGATCGGTCCAATCCTGGACCGATGGACATTATTTTCTTAACACAAAAGTTCTGATGTTTTTTATCAAGACCAACTTCGTTCAACATTTTCATAAACGTAATAATAATAATAATAATAATAATAATAATAATAATAATAATTTTTAATAATATTAATTTAATAATAATAATAATAATAATAAAAATAATAATAATAATAATAATAATGGAAACAAGATTGATAGCTATAACAATGATATAAACAAGAGATCGTGATTACTAACTAAAAATATACTAGAACTAATATGTACTATAGTGAGAACTAATAACTCAAGTGTTTTACCTCCTGTGTAAAGGCAGCGTAGTCCACTTGTGTACATTAATAACATTTTAAGTGCTCCTGTGACGAAAAAATCGTCTCCCCAATTCAGATCTTAGTTAAACATTACTTCGAAATAAGCTACAATCCTGGACAAAACATCTGCGACACTTCCAATTTCTTGACAAAATGTCGTAAATTTAGAAAACCTCCCCCACGGATAAAACGTCCAACATTGTTTTTTTTTTTGGGTGGGTGGGTGGTGGAGGGGAACAAACGAGTAAATTATTCCGGTCTAAATGGTAAAAAAAGCCACAAAGGAATGTTTTAATAGAGTGTCGCAGATGGTTTTGTCCTAGCCTGCATGGCAGGCGGTACATAGGAAATACCGCCTGCCGCAAAACTGGGTGTAAATGAACTACCGCCCCTGAAGCATCAACGCTATTTATAGATGCATTAATTAAGTAAATATTCAAAATTAGCCACTCCCAAGCTGCTCCCAAGTCCCAACTGCCCAACATAAAATAAATTCCTTGATTCTCATCACCGCCCGACTGAATTTTAAAATCCTCGTGAAAACGTTTTATTTTTCGTTATACAATATAAATGTACCGCCCGACAAAATAATTCAAGACAGTTAATTTTTTCATATTTTATATAGAGTTTTTATTGCCATTTTAAACTTCCAATTTGAAACAAACAGAATTTTGAGTGAAATTTCATTGTATTTTAAAGAAACTCAGTCATTCTGTCATTGTTTGTGGAGATACGAACTATTGATATATAAATTATATAAATATAAAATATAAAAAATAAATCTCCCACTGTCTTTCGACATTTCAAAGTGTAGACTGTGTCTAGTGATGAGAATTAAGGAATTTATTTTATGTGTTAATATAAAACAAGCCCGTTTAGCCGTTTAGCTGCCTTAAAACGGTGGTTTAATAAGCTCAAAATACAAAGCATGCAAGTCTATACTATAGATTCATCACCAGTCAACAACCAAACTGAAAGTATTGAAACTTATAGAACGATAGTTTTTATTTGTTTACAACTATACATATTCAACGGGTATATAAGAGTTTCACTGTTATTTGATAATTACTGCATCAACCGGCCCCTTGTTTATACTTTGGAGGTTCGTATATATTAATATCTATCAAGTATCTTTGGTTCAGAACATGACTGATAGGCCTATATGGAAATCCCACTGTTCGATTCAGTGAAGAAATATCTCCTAATTTCTATCGATAGTTTTAGTAAAATGTCAACATTATTGCGATTTATGGCCTTTGAAAGTCAAGCGAGATAGTATATTATCAAATTACAGTAATACGCATGTAATTGTCTGAACGAAAATATAGACTAGCCCATACCTTTCGCCGATCATAACTTCGGCCCCTTCGGACGTATCTTCTTTGTTAAATATTCTTGTTCGAATCTCTGTCAATTAGAGTGTTATTTTTCAGCTTGTATCTTTTAATTTGCTTCTTTTATTATGTTATTCCATTTCTGGTCTGACTTGACGTGAACTAATTTCAAAACGCAGAGTTTCAAAACGTCAAAACATTTGGTTAATGATTAACATTTAACCGAATTTAGCCGTTGATTGACAACTACATAAAAATACTAACCAATCCGTTTTTCCCGTTCACCAGCGGACGGGTAATTCAAAAATCCCTAGTTTTGCGGCAGACGGTATTTCCTTTGCTTCCCTAATTTTCGCTGCCCGTAGAAATACCGCCTGCCATGCAGGCTAGTTTTGTCCAGGATTGTAGCCCCGCGTTCTTCGTTTTTCAATATCTTGTTTCGTTCTCTAGATATTCAGCTTTTTAAAACATGCAAATTAGATCCAAGTGCCGTATAATTCGAAACCGGAATAAAGTAAAAGTGTATCGGCCTTCTGTCGCTACAACTGAACAATTCGCTAACATATGAAGCTGAGCTTGTTCACACAGGAATCAAACTCCACCCAACGTTTCAGATTTGAGTTATTTAGGAGGCTAAATATTAAAGATTTTTTATGAAGACATATATATTCCTGGGCATTTTGACCATGATTTTGTGCCACAAACTTATCAGTTTCGTTGATGATACCTGCTTCATTACCTGCATATAATCGTCCCTATGGACATAATATATCTACTAGGTCCTAGTACTCTACGTCCATATATCTATAATTATAATTATGTACAATGAAGAACAGGAGCGTTATACTATCATGTTAATAAGTTAGATTCCGTGCAGTCCTCTCGGCTGAATCAATATAACAAGACGCCTGCTCAGGCGTTCACACTGACCTGAAAATGACGACATACGAGCTACGGTGCAATAGACAAGAATACAAGTCGTGAACCGCAGACGCAAAGCGTGAAAGGCTAAAAGCGTGCCGTGATCCTCAGGAGATGTTTTCGTAATGCCCAATAAACACACAAGTATTACTCACAAATACAAACGTTATCCACGAATGCACATGGTTTAGCTCTGAGCATGCGATGCGCTAACACAGACAACATTGTTTACATTCGGTGAGTCCGTTTATTAAACGTATAAAATTCGAAAAACTCAGCGACCAGATATTGCATTTCCAGAGACGTTGCACGAAACAACCCCAACCAGTCAACTTCCGAGGAAGTGCAGTTTGAAGGTAAAACATCTTAAGTCGAATTTTAGACCCCTACGATTTAAACAGCGCGTTGTTTTGATGTACGCTCTATGGGACGCGCTAAAAATATAAATATTCTGTAAATACCAAAATAAAAGATGAAAATCTGAAGTAAGACACAAGCTTGAAAATAACACTATAAATAGTGTTTTGGATTCTGATTCCATTAATACTATTACGAAAAAGATATGTCCAAAGGGGCCGAAGTTATGTTCGACGAAATGTAGGGCTAGTTTACATTGTTTATTATATTATGAAATATGATACCATGCCTTACTTGTATTAAAATTCGCATCGAAGTTAAAAGTAATGTTATTGTTTGACGCAACAAATCTTCAGTAACACAATAAAATGTATGTTTCTTGTAGTTATCAGTAGCAAGTAAATGTTTTCGCGTTTTGTATAGATGTATTGTCTGAGGGTAAAACGTCTTAAGTCGATCAGTAGCAGGTTTATTAAGTTTGGACCCATCACGGATGTCGCGCCATTGACTGTACATTACGGATGCGCGAATGACTATATGGGTATTGCATATGATACAAACACATTGAGTATACAATTCTACTCTGCGCATACAATATTTTGTAGTCAAACTGTCAAAACTTTAACTTGTCCTTGTTTATATTCCATTCTATTGTATAAATTCGCGGGGTACAAAACCCGTACAATATTACAAAGAAACGGTGAAATGCTAAAAGCGTGGCGTGATCCTCAGCAGATGTTTTCGTAATGCCCAATGAAACACAAGTATTACTCACAAATACAAACGTTATCCATAAATGCACATGGCCTCTGATGCAGTATAGGAGGTCTGGAACTGGTAATTGTGCGCGTGCGTACAAGTGTATGGGCTAATAAAGAAAGATGTACCACAAGCATGGCATGAGCCGGCTACTACGTACATAAATACGGATCTTGTTACTATGAAAACTAAATCAAGCAGTCGAGGAATCGAATGGCATTTGAATCGATGGCATTTTGGATTAATCGTCGCACCCTGAGCCTGCGATGCCCTAACGCAAACTCCATTTCTCGACGAAAACAGAAAACAGAAAATTAGGGATTTGAGACACTTGACTTTTCAGGTCAGTGTAATAAGTTGTTCTAATACAATGTGCACCTATTTTAGCAATTAGATGGTTAGTTTTTTTATGAACTTTAGATTTCGTCAGTGCTTTCGTTTCCCCGGGGGTGAATAGCCGGCCGGAATTAGTACTCTCGCACGGCGCCGTTGGCTCGGGGATGACATATAAAAATATCTGCCATATTAAAGCATATAACAGCAGATTCAAATAGGTCCTATTTTTTATATCGTTTACTTCGTTTTGCACAGACCTTTGTTTCTTGGATGTTTAATTTTCTTCGATAATTATCTATAGGACCTGGGAAAGTTTTAAATTGCACTTCGTTTGGGAAAGTTTACTATACAACTACAACTGAAGTGAAAATAACAGCGTTTTGAATATTTTAGATTTTGGCGAGTGTTCTCGGCGCATATACCCATGCCATGAAAATGCGAGATGTGTGGATACCATTGACTCATACGACTGTGAATGTCACAATGGTTATCATGGCGATGGAAACTATTGCACAGGTATGAAATATCTTAAGAGCTATTCGATTAAATTCGTTAATATCAATTAAGGCTAGACGAAATTTGAATCATTGGAAATAAACATTCCAACCCATCCGGGTTTTTTCGCTTCTGTTTGTACCTAACAAAGCTGAAATGATTTAATTTAAAATTCGCGCAATTTTGATTATCAAGCCAAATTTCTGTGTTAATTTAACAGAAAAAAAAACTTAAGTTTAAAAACTGCTTACCGAAAATGAATGTTTTAATGATTCCAACAGGCATTTGAAGGAATCAAACTTCTCCACTATAGTTTTTATCTGTAAATATAGAAAAATCTTGTTGTTTTGTTGTCAATCGCTACTGTTGTTATTAGGTATGTCTCGCAAAATTTCATTTGCAAGATAGTATTTGAGTAATGTTGTCAATGTTAGTAAGCAAGTGATTGTCTCAAACATTATCGGTAGATATGTGGCCATTGCACTTTGAAAGGGTTAATCCCCTCATCGGGAGGTCGAGAGAATCTCCAAAATAAAGTCAAGTTCTTCTATTTATTTAAAAGGCCATTGATCACTTAAACATATGTTGCATAGATCGATTAAATTTTCCGTCTGTTGACATGTGAGCCAGGTGATTTGATGAAGACATTGTTACCACGAAACCACTTCCAACGCATTAAATAATGCCGGTTTTATCACTAGATATTTAATGACCCAAGCAGTTAATTTAAATACGACCCAATTGAAAACACAATTCAACACAACATCTTCTTTTGTGGAAGTAGAGGTTCAGCATGGGGTTGAAGACTCCAATCGTATTATGACAAGCATCTTTCTTAGTCACGTCACATCCTAAGCTAGTAAGCTGCACTGATTCTGAACTGAATGCCCTGTATGCAGAGCCTTGTCACGGGGCTGGCTAGTCCCTGATGAACCTGACCAAGGACCACTTCACAGTTCTTCACACTTCACAGTTCTTAACACTTCACAGTCCTGGCAAAGGAGCGCAAAACCCCTGTGGGCAGTTCTTAACATGACCTAGGGCACTAGACCCCTATGGCCAGTCCTTCATCTGAACAAAGCGCGCAAAACCTCCAATGGACAGCCCTTAGATTTAGATATGGTATACGTGTGACGTATATTGAGTCAATTAGCCTAAAGTTGAAATGTTGGAGATTTTATCATGAAAAATAATGTATATAAAATATATGTATAAGAATGTACATTGCTATTTATTTAGCATATCTGTTAGAGTGGTTGCATGATACCTCTAGCTGATAGAGTTGCAGAATTAATTTTGATATATCGTTCATAGCAGATTGATGCCCAACGTCCTAAGGTTTTAATGAGCTAGGAGGAAGTTTAGCTGCTATCGTTGTTGTTGTTGCAGTCTCATCACGGTAGCAATGACATACATAGAAAACCGCATTCAAGCCAAACTTAGTAAGAACAGATCCTGTCTCAATGTGATCTACTGCAAGGTAATTTTTTATCGAAGCACATTTTATACTTTTGCCAAATAAACAACAAACTCGGTTAACAGAGTTTCTGTTGCTGGAAGACACTGTTTTACTGTGGTACGTTTAAATAAATGGATAAACTCAACAAAATGTTTTTTAACTGAGCTGTATGCTTGTTTCGTAGAGAACAAATGTATATATCTTTGAATGTCTTTATCTAAATCGTTAGAGAGGCTGGGATGAAAGATGGACTGGGTTTGCAAGAGGTGTCAGGAGTCTAAATCGTTGGTGCTAAAAACAAGAAATAACTTGGCAGTACAGTATTATTTGGTTACAGCATCGTTAATAAAAGCTGGCTCTTTCAACCCAATTTATTATTGTATAGTTAAAAGTGCGAATCTTTCAACTATTTTGCAGTATTGTACAAAAAAATATGAAAAAATTAAAAATTTAAGAATCTCGTGTTGTCATGGCAACACTTGAGCGCGAGCCTGCGTTCAGTGTTGGCCATTTCTGAATACTTCATGTTACTTTAATGTTTGTGCCGGTTTGGGTAAGTTTAAACATTTTAGCAGTAAAATTCCATGCCGTACTTGCTTTGTGTTGTCGGTTTTATTTATATCTGCGAATTGTTTAAGCCATTCTTAACTCGATAATTCACTTTAACGCAAGCTGGTATGCATGAAATTGCAGTGAATGTTAATATCGTTCATTATATTAAATGCACCTATCAATGTTAATCCCGAGGGTGGGGGGTGTCAGGGTTCGAGAAAAGGGTGGGGATTTGACGTTTTTACATAAAAAATCCCCACCCCCGGGATGAAATTGTGTTCATGAAGTGTTAGGTTTCTGGCGCACTCTATACGTCAGGTGATAGCAAAATGACACGAATAATAATACTTTCGTCGGTATAATTTAAAAGTATTCCAAAATAATTTTTATTCAAAATAACATAATGTGAATTTTTAACATATAAGTATAAATCGATATATATTTATATATAAAATGGCTTATAAGTGTTTATTTCTTGTCCAGAAATCTCCATGTTTCTTGTAAAAATAGCCTGGATAGCGGCTCTCAGGGAAAGGAGAGCCTGCACGAGATCTACTGTTTTGCCATATCCGCCCACTTACCCTGCGGGCTACGCCCACTTTCAACAATGTCAAAATTGGCCAATCATACAGATTGTTTACGTTAGAAAATTTACTTGTCAAAATGAAATAATATAGATTGCTTTATGTTTGCAAATTTCTAAACGAAATAATATATGGATGCCGGCTAAAGAAAATTGAAGTCTGTTGGAATAGCGCTAGGCCTAGGGAAATCTCCATCGTCATCACAAGTAGTTTGCAGTCCGTGTGCGAGAAAGCTACGAAATACGTACAAATATAATTAGTTTCGACAGCGGTCAAAAAAGTATTAAATGTTAAAGTTTCGAGCAATGGAGGAAAGAGAAAGGTATCTGAAGCCGTCACTCCAGAGAGAAGAAGTCCTGCTCATAAAACATAAGTATTCACAGCAATTCTCTCCTGGCACAAAATTATTAGCTACAAAATCATGAAGAAAAATCTATTTGTCGTCCATGAAAACGAACACGCTCGTAAACAGACGCTGCTAACAGACAACAATCCAACGAGGGCACCACAGCCAATATCTCTAGAGATTCATGACCAAAGTTTGTAAATACTTTTATTGTCCAACCGTATTTCGTGGCCTTTAAGCTCTTTTGAATGCAAAACTCAATGAAACACCTCTCAATAATGCATCCGCCGTGTTTGTTCATAATTTTAGCATAAATTAGCATATTTTTTCATTTTGAACCAATCAGATTTCTCGTCCTTTGGGAGAACGAGTAAATACGGCAAAGCATGGTGTTTCGTGCAGACTGTCCTTTCCCTGAGAGCCACTACGCAGGCTATTGTAAAAACAACGCGCGAGACAATCTCGTACCCATAGCACATTAGCACGGAATACTACACAGAAGTCCATCTCCATTGTTTTTTGTGTAAGCGTTATCCATCATGATTCGTCACTCAGCAAGTACCGTAAACAGAAGCAGTCCCCCCTCGAAATACTGTACTAAAACTGGCGCACGTCCAGGGGAGTTACCGCTTCTGTTTATGGTATTTGCTGAGTGACGAATCAAGACGAATTTTTTGCTCACGCAAAAAAACAATGGAGTTGGACTTCTGTGTAGTATTCTGTGGTCATGCCCAGCACTTAAACTGCGAACGGGCACACTCTGGGTACGAGATTGTGCGCGAGACGGCGAGCGATGAACTAGTGCCCAGTCTTCAGTTTGTTCAAAAATCGGCACAGGTTTCTTCAGTATATCGTCTGAGATCAGTGTTATTCTGTCAAAAATCCTCACTCTCGGGCCACTTAGAAAAAAGTGTCAGTCCAAATTCCAACCCACGGGACAAACTGATTGATCAAATCTCCCCTTTGCCTGCCCCCCTCCCCCTCATGGTTAACATTGATAGGGGCATAAAGCTAGCGATCAATTGTGTTTTTATGTTTGTTTATAATGGTCTTAATACATTATGTGAAGTTTTTTTTTTATACTTCATCTGTTAGGAAAGGCGAGGGGTTGCTGCATGCATGTATTTTCTAGTATATGATGCTTATAAAACTTCCAAACGGCGAGACAAAACATAACCAATTATATGAACACGACAGAGCAGGAACTGGCCCCTGGGTTCAGGTGAACTACAATGAACTAAATAAAAGGATCAAGAACAAGGTTCGCCACAAACGTCATTGAAGGTCACCTTCAATTCAACGTCCAAAAATCTGTGGAAGAGCTATACATGGATATCCCAAACCTCAGATTATATAGTTGCCACGTACCCGGAATCACGGTCTTTGACTTTAACTATTATTAGGTGAAGATAACTATAGAGGCATTCAGCCAAAGATCCTTGGCGCAGACTTAGATGATAAATTAAACTTTAATAAGCACATCAGTGAAGTATGCAAGTGTTCCAGCCAGAAAGTGGGAGTAATTTTAAGACTCAGAAACCTAATCCTCACAAAATCCAAGCTGGACCTCTATAAAACCTCAGTCCTTCCACAATTAACCTATTGTCATACAGTTTGGTACTTTTGTAAGGCACCAGACAGACGTAAACTAGAAAGAGTGTAAGAGCGGGTATTAAGAGCAATATTCAATACGAAGGCACATTCATATGAGGAATTATTAAATAGAGCAAATCTTTCCAACTTACTGTTCAAGGTGAAAAACAATATAAGTCCACTTTATGTTAACAAAATTTTCGAGACAGTTGACAGCTATGTTGGGGCTATGGCTTATGTAATGCAGACTTCCATAGACCCGTTTTAATACTGTGCAATATGGAAAACATGCACTTACATACTTTGAACCGCATATATGGTCCATTTTGAGCCAAGCAGATAGAGAAAAGCCATTTTCAGAAAGTTTTAAGAATGCGATTAGAAAGAAAAATCTGCACGATTTAGTTGAAAACAGTTGTAAAAATTGTAAGATATTACTGACTTAATGTCCTAGATTCTCGTCTTAGAACTTATAGATTTTAGATTATATAGTATATAATCTAAGAACATAGATAGATAGTAAATTTAAATAATTCGGATAAGTGCCCCCAATTAGTTTGTAAGCGCTAAACATATTGACACTTTTAATAAATTTAAAAAAACAAACCAAAAAAACAAACCAAAATAATTGTACGTTCTGCCCACAATGTGGAAAGCAAAACTCCGATGAATTTATACATACTGTTTCGCACTGGGAGTACACCTTCGATCAACTGAGTAAAACAAATCTATTGAAATCTATTGGCGATGGTTAATATATAATAATAACACAATCTGGCGTTTTACTTGAAATGAAAGAGAATGCAACAAATACCAATGTTAAGGCTAATTTGTTTGTAGTTAGTGACGCATTGGTTGACTTTTACAGGCACCTGTTTGGATTGGAAATTCCGCCCGACAAGTTTAACCCAGTTTTGGGTTTTATCATAAACCTATTCACAGGGTTCAAAACAGCGATAGTCATTCACTTAAACAACAGAACTGAACAACATCTTAACGATAATAAGTTAACCTATCCAGCTTTAGTGGGAGGCACCATAGCATCTCTCTTTTAATCCTTTCTCAGAAACTTAACTCAATCTAAACTGGGATCAGGCCATCAAGGACAACACGACCAGATTCATTTTCTTCCTTACACATTGCAAAAGGAGCTTAAGAAATTTAGGGTACGAATTCTTTGGGCATTGGAATAAATAGCAAGAGTGAAAAATTCTACTATCTATAAACTCCGCTAACACCAGATACCTGAACATTAATTTGGAATCACCACCACAATATGGAATAATACATAACCAATAATATAGATGCCAAAATGCAAAGAAAACAATTGAGGAATATGGAAGTTCAAATGAACCGCTGGATAAAAATGTGAACCGCAAAATTACGCCCAGAGAAGCGCTGACGGCGCCGATGTAAAAAGCAACAAACGCATTAAACTATTCTACCAAATCTGTAGCACACTTCAAAAAAGACTCCCAAAAATCTATTTTGAGTATGAGAGGAAAAGATCAGCCAAAGCTAACGAGTTCATAACAGACCTATTAAATTTATCAGCCCTTGGTCCCACGTAGTAGGCCTACACAGCACGAGAGTGGGGAGGAACAGGCGCATTTGGCACATTTTCGTCCTTCGTCCCGTTCTTTGGTGCCTCGCCGCTTCGTGTGCTCGACCCGCCGGCTCGCCATATTGCCGAGAAGCCTCCGGCCTTAGCTCGCATCCCAAGCTCGGTGGGTTCCCTCCGGGGACGGGGTATCTAGCTACCTGTGTTGCCGCTCGCCTCGGTGTTCCACAGTTCCAACACCCAGACCTGTGTAGTGTTGGATATGGGGACCAGGCTGTGCTCCAAACTGGCTTCCAGTAGTGTAGCCAGGCCGACAATTTAGTCCCACTATGCAAATTGACTGTGAAAACTATTAATTTCTAAAGAAATCAATAATGATAATAATTTGAATGTCCTGCCCTATTATTAGGTCCGGATACCTTCCCGTAAATGGCTTGGTACCCCAACCACATAACCGACGGGGGGGTTGTTTAAAACGTCCCGTAGTTGGTCCGGGTAAACATTACAGATCAATATATTGTGGCTACCACTATGGGCATCTGAGAGGTTTTCTATGGTGTTTCCGAGAGGTTCTATCCACATAATGTCCGGGTTTATTGAGCCATTGCCTTCCAACGCCCAAATCCACCATACAAACCCAATGGGTGATTCCAACTACAGACTAAATTTTGATCAAGGCAAGAAGAACGAAATCGAACACCGCAACTAGAACGAGCGTCTTAGAATCAGTAAATCTACAAAGATTGGTTCTTAAATGTTGTGAAATGAAGAGAAATAGCCCTGTGAAGTTCGCAAATTTTGTATATATTTGTATTACGTGCGGTAAAAATACCCACTTTCGGCTCAAAAATGGTTATTTTTCCCGCTCGTAATGCAAATATACTGAAAAATTTGCGAACTTCGCAGGGCTATAATTTCCTCATTTTACAACAATTCGCAACCAAACTTTGCAATTTTGCTCATTTTAAGATTCTTGTCTAAATCAAAATTTCGTCTACAGCTGGAATCGTCCATTCTTAGTCACTTCGCTCAACCAAACACACCAAATAACCACCCATCACTCAGCCATTTACTCTTCCCAAAAACTTCGAAAATTGCCCCAATGCCCACATTGCTTTAGCAAAATCGCCGACCACAAATGGTCGGAAAATGGCCTAATATCCCTATATCCTATATTACTTCTGGCTACTACTACTCTAATATGAATTCAGCTAATTATAACTTCGTGATCACCAGGAAATAGAACTACACAGGAATAACATTTGGTATGAATGGTACAAATGGTATGAATGGTATGAATGGTACAAATCTTACAATTATTTAGATATTGACGAATGTTCTGAAGAGTCAACCAACGAATGCCACTCAAGTGCAACTTGTTCCAACACTCCAGGTTCCTACAACTGTCATTGCGGATCAGGGTATTATGGAACCACTTCCATAAACCAAATCTCCTGTACAGGTATAACGTCAACAGGCGTATTAGACATTAGAACTTCAACAAACAGTATATATTGTCAACAAAATATCTGTTGCGACCTTACGTGTCTTCCCTCTAAACGTCGAAGCTCTGTTTGTGTATCACGCGATGTTAAAGGACTTTCGACCTGCACTGCTACTTTATATACTAAACTGTTCGCTAAACATTGTTCTTGAAGGGGGCACTCATTGTTTCTCCTACATGCAGTTGCAGGTGGTTTTCTTTGTAGAGGAGAATGTATTTGAAGATGTGGCGGTAGGCTTACTGTTAGAAAGTACTCTGAAGTCATGTTTAGAAATAATGGATTTACAATTATCTATGCAACTATAACACACTTTGACGGTACTGCGATTGAACAGTTTATGCAAGGGATTGGAATGTGGAAAGTCCTTGTCGATTAAATTTAGAAAAAAATGTTCGAACACGTTTTTAATGTACGGGGGATTAAACCAAATGATGTTTAGCGTTGCCGTCTTTTCCTGTGTCAATGGTGATGTGGCGTATAGTGCAGGTTTGCTTGCTAGTTGCTACGGTGTAGAGCAGGGTGCTTATATGATGAGCGGTGCCACGCGCTGATCGTTGTGTGGTGTGGAAAAGAACTGCCACAAGCGTGCTTTTTGGCAAAATTTCACAAGGTGTGTTGTATTTTTGCTGTTTTTCGTTAACTACGAAATTGTTGAGGATGTTTTTGCACTGTAACGACGAAGTAGTCACTATTGTATCGTATGCACGACTCCTCTCCCAAAGGGAGCACGTGCTCCCTCTCCAAATATTTAAAGGACCAAAAGTGCTCTTTTTGTGATGAAAAGTGTCCTTTTCGTACAAGCTAATATTGCAGTAAATACTATACTAGAAGTTACTATCGCATGAAAGTGCTGCCTCACCCCAAAGGAGCAAAGGCAGTATGCCCAATTTTCTGAATAAGAGGCTGTTTATATGACCCCGCTTTGCCAGGACGAGATGGTTAGCACTATTTTCCATCCAGCAAACTGCCCTATCGATTTTCTAAAGTTGTTTCTTTTTGGATTTTTTCATTAATTCGGTGATGGTTAGAGTTAGGGTTGCAGTTAGGGTTAGAGTAGGGTTTGGGTTAGTTACATAGCCATTTAACACCTCTTTCATTTTCCGAAAATGACGTCAGGTCAGTTTGTTCGATGGAAAATAGTGCTAACCGGACGAGATACGAGGCGGGATGATTTTGATGTATTTAAATAAGTCATGGTGCACACTTCACCAAAAAACTTCATTATTTCCATGAAATAGTGATAGGTACCTGTAAACGAAAAGGTTGTTCAAGCAGCAATAATAACCTTTTTCAACTACAAGATCTGCTCTACCACATTTCAGTTCTGTTAACCAGTATTTGAACTTTCGTTTAGCCTATTGACTTATTTCAATACAACAAAATCATCCGACCTTCCATCATGTATACAGTCCCTAAGACGACTGTTCAGGAGGTAGGAAAATTGCAATTTGAATACCAAACGCCTTCACAAAGTCAAAGGACAGCTAAATATTCTCATTCTACTTTCTTGACATTGGGAAATTTTATATGAATACCTTCAATGCTTATAAGTTCTTGCTTTTGTTTGTATAATTATAATACTATCAGTGGCGAAGCTAGCCGTAGCAATAGGTCATGCTAAGTTTTTAATGATTTGCATTGCAGGCAACATTTGCCATGGCAACTGGTCATGATGACCAGTTGCGATTCAGGAGCTTGCCACTGAATACTGTGCAACACCTCTCTCCTCCGCCATAGCCAACAGAAGCATCTGCGGAGAAGGGAGATAAAATACCATATGTATAAACAATAATACTCCTTGATTGAATCATTGGACATGTAGAATTTAATAAAAAATTTTATATATAGAAATACTAAGTCCGTTTTTGTCCCAATTATCGTTTTAATGGCACCTTCAAGGCTATCCCTATCGCAGAACAACTGAACAGCCTGCTGATGGGGAGACAAAATCTACTTGTTGACATTTTTGTTTAATATGTCAGCTTCAGATGACACCATTC